GATTGCATTCCTAAGGCGGGACTAGAACTCACTGTCTACTGGTGATTGGCCGGATTGCATTCCTAAGGCGGGACTAGAACTCACTGTCTACTGGTGATTGGCCGGATTGCATTCCTAAGGCGGGACTAGAACTCACTGTCTACTGGGAATTGGCCGGATTGCATTCCTAAGGCGGGACTAGAACTCACTGTCTACTGGTGATTGGCCGGATTGCATTCCTAAGGCAGGACTAGAACTCACTGTCTCCTGGTGATTGGCCCAAAGTCATCCAGCCAGCTTTCATGCTAAGTACTAGAACTCCCCGTCTCTGGTGATTAGTCCAAAGGCACCCAGCCAGCTTTCATTCCTAAGGGCGGGACTAGAACTCACTGTCTCCTACTGATTGGTCCAAAGTCACCAGCTGGCTTTCCTGCTTTAAGACAGCACTAGAACTCACCATCTCCTGGTGATTACTCCCAAGTCACACAGCCAGCTTTCATTCCTGAGGCGGAACTTGAACTCACTGTCACCTAGTGATTGGACCAAAGTCACCTAGTTGGCTTTCATTCCTAAGGTGGGACTAGAACTCACCATCTCCTGGTGATTGGTCCAAAGTCACCCAGCCGGCTTTATGCCTAAGGACTAGAATTTCCCTCCGTGAAGAAAATTGCCCCTTTATTCTTATTTTTTTAATTCCTCTTTCTGCAGCAGAGCTAAATGAAACCTCACATGTCCCACTTACCGTCGTGCGTCATTCGGAGCGCCATTTCCCCGGTTGGGCTCACCGTCTGCATCTCGCTCCATATTTCTTTTGCTTCTTCCACAACGATCTAGAAAGCAAAAGCTGGTAAGTAAATCTTGCCGGACAAGACCAGATCCGAGGCTTTCTCATCCAGGCTGCCCAGAGACCTTGAAGGAGAAGGATGGTCTGGATCCACAGGTAGTCCTCTTACTTACGACCACAATTGAGCCCCACATTTCCATTGCTGAGCAAGACCGTTGTCACCTGAGTTTTGCCCCATTTTGCAACCTTCCTTGCCGCAGTTGTTAAGTGAATCACTGCAGTTGTTAAGTTCGTCACACAGTTGCAATAGGGGCGAATATCTGTAGTTCAGGTGTAGGATGAGGGTGAAGGTTCGTTCTCCGAGCTTGTGGGTTGGTTTCCGAACGTTTCATTACCGGGCTAGGTAACATCTTCAGCGGAGTGGAGGGGATGTCCGTGTTCCTCTGTTGATAAGGGCTTCAGGTGTGGCTGTGTCGAGTGAGGGTTGTGAGGGGTCAGGTGTAAGTCATCAATGAGAGGCTTGGGTGTTGTGATGGGGAGATGGAGCAATTGATTGGAGCACCACACAAATCATCGGCCACGCCACCACCCACCACGCACCTGAGTTCATCGAAGCCTGGCACTCCACCAGCAATTCCATCCACAGACACATCAACCTACAACCGGCCTACGCACCCCTCAGAATCCAAATCAACCGCACAGCCAACCGGGGACGGCACCGGCCCTCAACCATCCCGCGCAATCCTCCACTACCAGCACCAAGGATCCTGACCTCCCCATGGCGAGACCCATCACCGGCCTCTCACTGATGACTCACACCTGACCCATCACAAGACCCTCACTCGACACACCCGCACACTGAAGCCCTTATCAACAAAAGAACAGCGACACTGACCATCCCTTCAACTCCACTGAAGACGTTACCTAGCCCGGTAACAAAACGTTTGGAAACCAACCCACAAGCTCAAGAGAACCAACCTCCATCCTGAATCTGGTATCTCCATTGGTTTCGCTTGTCAGAAGGTTGCAAAAGGGGATCACGTAACTCTAGGACCCTGCAACTGTCATAAATACGAGTCAGTTGCCAAGCATCGGAATTTCGATCACGTGACCATGGGGATGCTGCAAAGGTCACGTGTGCGAAAAATGATCCGAAGTTATTCTTTTCAGTACTGTCGTGACTTCGGTCACTAAACAAAGAGTTGTAAATCGAGGAGTAACCTGTACCTGACATAGCACCTGAGCATCACATCCATACTTTTTGTATTTCCCAGGGTTGTTCTTGAACCATTTGGGCGTGTGGTCCGCAGTGATAGAGTCATCCGCCGAAGCGTAAAACGCAGCGAGGGTCTGAACAATCATCTTGGCTATGAACGGAGACTTTTCCTGGCGATTGGTTTGGAGAAAGCTGGCCACATAGGACGTCAGCGGGAACAGTTCAAGTTCCCTTCCGTAACTGCAGCCAAACGAAAGAGGGAATGTGGAATTAATCCTGGTGATTCATCTCTGCTTATTTGGGTGTTAATTGCTGGCA